CATTCACTGCATTCATAAGGTTTCTCTCCCGTATGAATTCTCTGATGGGTTATGAAGTGTGACTTTTTATTAAAGGCTTTCCCGCATCCCTCGCATTCATAAGGTGTTCTTGCTATATGATTTCTCTGATGTAGAATGAGCTGTGATGTGTGTACAAAAGCTTTTCCACATTCACTGCATTCATATTGTTTCTCTCTGATATGAATTTTCTGATGTGTTATGAGGTGCAAGTTTTTATCGAAGGCTTTTCCACATTGCCTGCATTCATAGGATTTTTCTCCTGTATGATTTCGCTGGTGAACAACAAGCTGAGACTTACTACAGAAGGTCTTTCCACATTCTTTACATCCATAGGGTTTCTCTCCTGTATGGATTCTTTGATGGATAATCAGGTTTGACTTTTGCATAAAACCTTTCCCACAATCACTACACTCAAAAGGTTTCTCTCCTGTATGTGTTCTGTAATGTAATCTGAGCTTCGTCTTTTCCCTGTAAGCTTTTCCACATTCTTTGCATTCATAGGGTTTCTCTCCTGTATGAGTCCTATGGTGTAGAATGAGATGATATTTTGTTCTAAAGGATTTCTGACACTCGATACATTCATACGGTTTCTCTCCTGTATGAGTTCTCTGGTGCAGAGTGAGATGACATTTTGTACTGAAACCTTTCTGACATTCACTGCATCTGTATGGCTTCTCTCCCGTATGGGTTCTCTGGTGTATTATGAGCTTTGACTTATACCTGAAGGATCTGGGACATTCACTGCATTCGTAAGGTTTCCCTTCTGTGTGAATTCTGTGATGTCTTTTAAGATTTGTTACTGTACTGAAAGACCTCACACATAAATTATGTTCACAGTACTGGGCTCGAGGGTGGGAGGTTTCATGTAGAGTACAGAAAAATGACTTCCCATAACCATTTAACTCATCAGAGTTCATTTCTGCATAGCTTTTACTCTGAAAACTTGGGTCTGAATTTTGTTTCAAACTTATTCCTCTTGAGACACATTTATGGGGTCTTTCTGTAAATGAAACAAAGTTTTTGCTCAAAGGAAATATTTTTCCCAATGCATTGTTTTCATGATCTCTCTCCACAGGTCCACCCTTCCCGTTATCTTCCCAATGCCAATCATAAACTTGCCACATTACTTCTAGAAAAAAAAAAATCAATGAATGCTACCATTATCATGAAATGGAGAGGGATGAAATCTCAAGTCAATATCCAAAGAGATGGAGAAAGTGATACAGCAGGTGCACAACGTAAGTCTGAGGCACCCAATAAAAGAAACAGTAATAAGTAATGAACTGAAGGACATGGGTGTCATCAAACATTGGAACAAATCTATGAATATTTGAAAGCAAAATAGAAGAGGTATATGAATATGGATAAAAGGTAAAAGAGGTTGGTTGTGTCTAATGAGCTACGGTAAAAGAACAACTAAACAAAAAAGGAGAGACCAAATGAACTAGGCAAAGATCTGACCCAGGGTAGATACAAGGAGGTAAGTCTCCTCCTAGGTGGCTAGCAAAAGAGTCAGATATGGAAGGGTAGTAAGAGAAGCAGGCAACATTCATACTGAAGACTTCTTTTCATTCAGAGTCACTTCTAAAGGTTCAGAGACTATAAGAAAAAAGTATTAAAATGGGGGGAGGGATAAATTAGGAGTTTGGGATTAACAGATACATACTACTATATATAAAATACACAAACAACAAGGACCTACTGTATAGCACAGGGATCTATATTCAATATCTTGTAATAACCTATAATGGAAAAGAATCTGAAAAAGTATATATATACATATAACTGAATCACTCTGCTGTACATCTGAAACTAACATAACATTGTAAATTAAATATACTTCAATTAAAAAAATATATTAAAATAACAAAGTTCCCAAGTCAACAATGACCAACTGTTACTTTGCTTCCACGAACTCCCACTGCATTGGTTTCACTCACCTGGGCCACACTCACTTGGGAATTCCCTCTCTACTACTGCTTTTTCTTTTTCTTCTTCTTTCTCCAAGTGCATCACTGGTTCTGGCTTCGTAACTTGATAACCTGACAAGGGGGGTAATCACAGAGAATCTGAGCAGTATTGGGTCCTGTGAGGAAAAGTTCTGTTTCAGGGAATGTATAGTTTAAATCTCAGCAAAATTGAAACTTTTTACTTGGAAAATGAAATTAAGTACAGTCACTGTATGATATTAAATAAAATAAGCTCTGTTACCTACCTATACTAGTCCAAGTCCAAAATCATTGACGATATCAGAGTATGCATAAATTGTAGCAATGGAAAAAAGACAGGCAATAAATGGGCTTACGCTGAGATATTTAGGAAAGTTGTCTTTACCCAATGACATTAGGTTGCTATAATTTTCCAACATCACATCCCGGTAGAGGTTCTTCTGAACAATGTCTAGCAGCTGCCACTCTTCCCAGGTGAAATCCACAGCCACATCATTGAATGACAATAAGCCCTGTTGTAACATAATCTTTTTAAATCTGGAGTTAATATAATGGAATAAAATAGTAATGATCTATAGGATATTATTCTATTTTTACTATGAAAATTTATAAACGTATATCATTCTGTACCTAGATTTTTTTTTTTTTTTTTTTGCGGTACGCGGGCCTCTCACTGTTGTGGCCTCTCCCGTTGTGGAGCACAGGCTCCGGATGCACAGGCTCAGCGGCCATGGCTCACGGGCCCAGCCGCTCCGCAGCATGTGGGATCTTCCCGGACCAGGGCACGAACCCGTGTCCCCTGCACCGGCAGGTGGACCCTCAACCATTGCGCTACCAGGGAAGCCCTCTACCTAGTTTTGATTGACATTCTGTGGGCTAAATTCATTAAAGCTCTCCTTTCTTTGTGCATTCTTCATTCACTTCTTCACTCACTCACTTACCCAGTGTAAAATGTCACTGAAACTTTAAACTACCTAAAGACAATCTGCAACCCACCTTACAAGCATTTAATGTTACTTACTATATATACATTTTAGATTAAAAAAGGAAATAGAGGGCTTCCGTGGTGGCGCAGTGGTTGTGGGTCCGCCTGCCGATGCAGGGGACACGGGTTCGTGCCCCGGTCTGGGAGGATCCCACGTGCCGCGGAGCGGCTGGGCCCGTGAGCCATGGCCGCTGGGCCTGCGCGTCCAGATCCTGTGCTCCGCAGCGGGAGAGGCCACAACAGTGAGAGGCCCGCGTACCTCAAAAAAAAAAAAAGGAAATAGAGCATGGTCCTGCCATCAAATGCCTTCTGATCTATTTGAGTTCAAAGAACTGCATATAGTTCAAAGGGACAGAAGAAGAGCCTGAAAGGGACAGATGCCCAGGTGACAGGCAGGAACACGTCTTGGAGCAAGAATGCACATGTCCTGCCGACACCTGGTAGCCACTGCAGTGTTTTTCATATACAAAAGTATGCTACGCTCAGAACTGCCTATTAGAGATTGGACTACGTAGTAAATCACAATACTCAAAAGAAAGCAAACACAAAGCTTTCACTGCGTGCTACGTATCGTTCTAAGCACCTTACACACAGTAACACGATGATCTGCACAGTAACCTTTATGTAAGCACTACTATTATCTTTTTTTAATAGGTAAGGGATTTTTAAAGTTTTCTATCTGTGCCTGTTATACCTCCCACATTTCCTTAGGAAGATAACTTTTCACTGGATCTACTGTCTGGATGAGAAAAAAAAGTAACAGGAAGACTCATCTTCACACTTAAATGTCCAGGAAATCTTTACTGAGTTCATGTGCTTCCTTCTTAAATACAAAGTAAATCTTGCAACACATTTTTATCTTTTGTGATGGTTTCCAGTATTAACAGAGAAATGTAGGCAACCCACTTCTGGATCCTGCTGCTTATGTGACAATGTTCTAATTATCAGCACCTTGCAGGACCCTATGACATGCAGATGAGTTTCCCTTCCTGATTAGCTATTCTGGATCAGTTATTCTATCTCCCAATCTAAGCACGTCCCTCCTAGCCACAATGTATCTATATATATTTTTCTCTTTGATTGGATACATTTTAATAAAACTCCAAAAATCAAAAATGCAAAACGAACTGGGAAAAAAACCAAACAGCTCACCTGGGACTTGGTCATTTTTAACAGCTTTTAGGAAGTGGCCACCACATTTAGGATCTGTCCTGAAATCCTGGTAATGGTGTCTCATCAAGGGTATCCTTAGCAAGGATGAATTTCTGGGCTTGAGACTTACTTTTTTCCTTTACAGGAGTGGCCTTATTCTAGGAAGCCGGCATCTATGGATTCAAGAAAAGATTTGTTTAGTATGGAAGTAATGATGAAAGCAAGTTCCAATACGTGCAAGGAACTGTTTCAAGTATGTTCTTTTCTCACTTAACCCTCACAACAACCCTATAATGTACAGATGATAATTATTCCATTTTAGAGAAAACTAGCAGAGGAAAGGTTCAGCACCTAGCTAAAACCCAACAGCTAGTAACTGGCGGAGAAAGGACTAAAACACAAACCCCCAGAATCAATAAATCCCCTGAGTCTAAGGAGAACTACCAGAATTATCCTTTCATCTTAGCCAACCAACACAAAAAGTAGGAAGAATATCAAGAACAACTATTTTAAGACCCAGAAGTCAGAGAAAAGGAAAATAAACAAGGTAAGAATTCTGTGCTGCAGCTCACTGCCTGGAGAGACTTTCCAATCCAGAGCACAGGGAGAAGGAACCCCAAAACCGTCCAGCAGTCTTGCTGAGTTAATGATACAGAATTTCAAGTCTGAGAAGCAAAGGTGGCTAGAGTTTGCCAGGCAGTACCTCAGAAAAAAAAGAGAAAAGTCACTCTGTAGATATGCAGAGGGTTCCTCTGAGTCCCTGGCTAAGGATTGGAAATTACCAAGGCCCCTGGAAAGGAGGAGGTGGAACAATTCCTGGAGCTCACACAAGATCAGGAATACTTAGCATTCCCACTAGCCAGGGTAGAAAGACCTTCCACCAGGACTTCAAACAGAGGCCTCAGAAGGGTACTGCCCCAGTAATAGGTACAGAGTAATCACAGACAAAAGACTGTTTCGGCCCCACCTACGAAAGTTGAAAAGAAAGCCTCCGAAGAATCAAACCTTTTCAAAGCAACTTGACTACATGCCAGAGCAAACCTCAAAAGTAGTTAAAGGAATAAAAGAAAATCCTGTAAACAACAATATCAAACTGACAATATCTGACATCCCATCGAAAATTACCAGACATGCAAAGAAGCAAAAAAATATGACCCAAAGCCAGGGGAAAATTCAAGCTAGAGAGACAGGCCAAAGTGACAAAAGGGATCGAATGGGCAGACTAGTACATTTCTTTAAAATTATACACACACACACACACACACACACATATATACATATATAATATGGAATATGTATATATTCCACAAGAGAAAAGCATGAGCATGATGAGAAAAATAATAATAAATTATTTAACAAGTGCCGTTGAAACAAATAGGATATTCATGTTTGCCTCAAACCAAAATTAACTCAAAATGGATTATAAATGTAAGGGTTAAAACTATAAAACTTCTGGAAGAAAGCATAGAAAAATTTTAAGTGAGGCAAAGATTTCTTTTTTCTTTTTTCTTTTTTTTTTTTTTGTTGCGGTACGCGGGCCTCTCACCATTGTGGCCTCTCCCGTTGCGGAGCACAGGCTCCGGACGCGCAGGCTCAGCCATGGCTTACGGGCCCAGCCGCTCCGCGGCATGTGGGATCTTCCCGGACCGGGGCACGAACCCGTGTCCCCTGCATCGGCAGGCGGACCCTCAACCACTGCGCCACCAGGGAAGCCCCAAAGATTTCTTAATCAGGGCACAAAATGCATGATAAAAGAGAAAGTTGATAAATTGGACTTCTTCAATACTAAAAATTTGTGATATTCAAAAGACACTGCTAAAAAATGAAGAAGGATCAAGCCACAGGCTAGAGGAAAATATTAACAAAGTATGTACCTGACTAAAAGACTTCTGTTTAAAAAATATGAAGAACTTTTCCAACTTAATAAAAGAAGAGACAATCCAATAAAAAGGAACAGAAGTTTCAAACAGACACTTCATCAAAAAAAAAAAAGAGATGGCAAATAAGCATATGAAAAGTTGCTTTGGGCTTCCCTGGTGGCGCAGTGGTTGAGAGTCCGCCTGCCATTGCAGGGGACACGGGTTCGTGCCCTGGTCCGGGAAGATCCCACATGCCGCGGAGCGGCTGGGCCCGTGAGCCATGGCCGCTGAGCCTGTGCGTCCGGAGCCTGTGCTCCGCAACGGGAGAGGCCACAACAGTGACAGACGCACATATCGGAAAAAAAAAAAAGTTGCTTTAAATTGCACAATAAAAGCAAATTAAAACCTAGATAAAATATTCCTATAAACCTGGTAGAATTGCTATAATTTAAAAGACTGAATATACCAAGTACTGACAAGGATGTAAAGAAAAACCTGTCTTGCATTGCTGGTAAAAATATAAAATGACAAAATGGTACAACCACTTTGACTTGTACATCAATGTACATTACAGCTTCATTCAAAACATCCAAAACCTACTCCCCCAAATCCAAAACATCCATCAAGTGGGGAACAGATAATATTGTGGCGTATTTGTACCACTGAATATTACTCAGTGACAGAAAGGAATGAACTAATGATACATGCAACATCATGGATGACTCTCAAAAGCATTATTTTAAGTGAAAGAAGTCAGACATCAATAACCTCTTACTGGATCATTCAATTTGTATGAAGTATTAGAACATATATAACTATGGAAAGCATGCGATTGTGAGGCAACAGGGGATGGGGGTATGGTCTCAATGAAAAGAGGCACAAAGGGACTTTTGGGGGTGATGGGAAAGTTCTATACATTGATTCGAGTGATGGTTAAAGGATGGTATACCTTTGTGAAACTCATCAAATTATACCTGAAGAACTGGCGAATGTATGTACTGTATGTAAGTTTCTAAAATTAAAGTGTAGTTGATTTACAATGTTGTGTAAGTTTCAGGTGTACAGCAAAGTGATTCAGTTATATATATAACTTATGGGTTATTTTCCCTTATAGGTTATTACAAAATATTGAGTATAGTTTCCTGTGCTATACAGTAGGTCTTTGTTGGTTAACTATTTTATATATAGTAGTATGTATATGTTAATCCCAAACTCCTAGTTTATTCCCTGTTCCCCTTTGGTAACCATAAGTTTGTTTTCTACGTCTATGGGTCTATTTCTGTTTTGTATATAAGTTCATTTGTATCTTTTTTTTTTTTTTTTAGCTTCCACATATAAGCAATATCATATGATATTTGTCTTTTTTCTGTCTGGCTTCCTTCACTTAGTATGATAATCTCTATATTGTATATAAATTATACCTCAGTTAAACTAACCTCTTGCCTACAGAAAGCAAAACAAATACAGGCTGTCTGCATCTGAAGACAAAATCCATGACCTTAAAGTCTGCAATGGAGTCTCAACTGAAATCTCAAATTCATGTTTCTTTTTGAGACTTCATCTTCACTCAAAACCCCGGCTGGATCTCTTGGCAACTCTAATCAGTGCTGACTGTTAAAGAATTAACTCTGGTGGTGAAAAATTAATTCTAACACTGAGAATAACTTAGAGGTGCCAGGACACCCGAGAAATATATTAATGCAACTTACTCTCAGTATCACATTGCTGAGAACTCCGAAGGACAATGCAACGCTGTGTCTTAGGCGGACAGAGAACTGAAGAAAACAGATCTAGATTTCAAGGACAATATGTGAAAGAAATTTGTGGCCAAAGAAATGAGGCCAATCTCATTTATGAACTTAGTATAAAAATCCTAAATATTTAAAAGATGAGGAAACCATGTTCACTGATAGAGAGGAAGAATACTAAGAAAACTGAACATAGGAAGAATTATACAATGCACAGATAACTTTATTCCAGGAATGCAATAGTGTAGTAAGAACTATTTCATTATCTCAATAGATAAAGAAAAGACATGTAATGAGATACCATAGCCACTCACAATTTTTAAAAATGTTATTAAACTAGAAAGAGACAAGAACTCTGTTAACTTGATAAAGAGTATCTACAAAAAAAAAAAAAAATCCACGGCATTTCTTTAAACTTAGGGACATGACAAGGATAGCCATTCTCAGAACATTTAGCCAAAAATGTATCACATTTTGGCTAAATGTAAACTGGGGAAAATAAATGGAAGGAATGAAGGAATGGAAAAGAAGAAGCAAGACTGTCACTATGCAAATGCTTTAAGATCAACATAAACATTAACTGCAATTTCATATTCAAACAACAGTAAGATTTATAAGGAAAAAACACTATTCACAATACCAACAAAACGTATAAGGTACCTGAGGGGGAAATGTACAAGAATAAAGTTTTATTACACCAAAAGAATACAAATTATAACCAGTCAAATGGAGAGACACAATAGGGTGAGGTCTAGGAGGGTCCCAAACCAGAAGCTTCCACTGTCCTTTCCTCTTGGAGTCAGGACACGTTGCTCATCCAGCATATCTATGTGTGACAACATGCAGGGTATCGCCAACCACAGAAACTCACCTGAGCTTCAGTGTTTACAGTTTGTATTAGAGTTTCATTAAATACGCATGATGGATCTAATCATTGGCCATGGAACTCAACCTCCAGCACCTCTACCCTCCTGGAGGTTGGGCTGATATCACCTGGTTGGTCTTTCTGGCATAAACAGTTCCAACCTGAATCATCTCACTAGCATAAACTACAGACTCACCAGGAGTTGCCTCATTAGCACAAACTATCAGGGCCCACCACGAATAATGCAGTCATCTCTATCATTCAGGATATTCCAACAATCTAGAGGCTACCTCCCAGGAACAGGAGACAAAGGACTGCCAATTGTTTATTACAAAATAACCAGCAAAAGACTAGCATTCTATATATGGGACTACTTTCTAAATATGAGTTAGGAAGAGACAAACCTCTCAGGTTTAAAATTGGCCAGTGAACATATAAAAAAGATGACCAACCATGTTAGTGACAAGAACAGTGCATATGGAGACCACAATGAGATAGATGTCTCTTATACTCAAAAGATGGTCAAAAAGCAAGAATGAAAATACTAAGTATTGGAAAGCCTATGGATCAAAAGGCACTTTTATACATTGCTGATGAGAGAGTAAGGTGGTACAAAAGCAATTTGACTTTCCCTTCTAGGTAAAAATTCATCTACTTTATATTAGAAATTTCATTTCTAGGTATACACCCTAGATTAGACAAATTCTCACATCAACTGGGAGACATAAGAATGTTCGGAACTTCACTACTTGCAGTAGCTGAAACCCAGAAACAATATAAATGTCCAACAACAGGAGAATGGATGTATGAGTTATGTTGTATTTATGCAATGGAATTCATATTAATGAAACAAACCTACCTCCAACATGGATAAATCACACATACGTAGTAAGTCAAGACAAGCAAGCTTCAGGACTTCCCTGGTGGCGCAGTGGTTAGGAATCCGCCTGCCAATGCAGGGGACACGGGTTCAAGCCCTGGTCCGGGAAGATCCCACATGCCACGGAGCAACTAAGCCCATGCGCCGCAACTACTGAGCCTGCGCTCTAGAGCCTGCGAACCACAACTACTGAGCCCGCGTGCCACAATTACTGGATCCCGCGTGCCTAGAGCAACAAGAGAAACCACCGCGATGAGAAGCCCGTGCACCAAAACGAACAGTAGCCCCCGCTCCCCGCAACTAAAGCAAGCCTGCATGCAGTAACAAAGACCCAACACAGCCAAAAATAAATAAATTAATTTAAAAAAAAGAAAAGAAAAGCAAGCTTCAGAAGACCACATAATAATATCCTTATTAGAAAACTTACAACCAAGAAAAACTAGAGTGCACTTTTAAGGTATCCATATACATATGATAAAACTATAAAAGTCAAGGGAATAATGCATTCTAATTTGTGAATCGTGGTTCCAAAGCTTGGGATGGTTAGGTGGGACTCAGAAGATGGAACAAGGATGGAGGACTTTCCCATTTTCCAATGATCAAACATGACATTCATTAAACAAAATTATAAAGAAAAGCCAAGGTAATCAAATTTCTAAATTGGGCTATCATATTAGAAAAGAATAGAAGGATGACATGCCCATTGTTGCTAAAGATGTAGAAAAATCTGGCACACTGTGTGTAGAAGCATTATAGAATAGAAAGTTATTGGGGAAGTTTGGTAAAACTAAATCAGAAGCCTCTGAAATATGCATTTAATTTGACCTACTTTTATAAATTAAAAACAGAAAAATATCCATAATATATAATTCAGTTAAAAAAATACATTTCAAAACATTACAGGTAGTTTACAGATAGTAAATCGGGGGTTAATTTTTTTTTTTTACCACTCTCTGGGGCTTGTGGGATCTTATTTCCCTGACCAGGAATCAAACCCGGGGCCAGGGAATTCTCTGAGGGTGATTTTTATTTCCTGCTTTTTACTGATAATAAACATACAATGATATTCTGATTTTAAAAACTTAGAGATCTCCATTTAATATCATATATAAAGTCACATAGGAAGATGATTTTTTTATTATTCTAACTTAATAAAAATAAGTTGAAAGTATTGTTTTGAGTAGGAAAAAATCCCATTAGAAAGGTATACATTTGAATAATAATAGCTACCTTCTGTCAAATACCTACTTGTTATAGGGACTTAATATTTGTGGCCCTCAAATTCATACGCTGAAGCTTCAATGTGATGGTATTTGTAAATGGGGTCTTTGGGAGGTAATTAGCTTTAGATGAGGTCATTAAGACTGGGCCTTCATGAGAACTGGTGAGGTAGAAATCAATTTGTTTGAATGGGAAAACTGAGACTTATAGAACTTGGTACTTTATCCAGAGTCACAGAAACAAGCGGCAGAACTGACATAAAAAGCTGGGATTAACTCGATTTCAAGTGCGTACAAGCACACGTAAACTCTTAAGTATTCATGGGCACGATTTTAACAATTCATGGATCTGGATGGCAGGTATACAGCAGAACATTTAGCTATTCTTTCGACTTTTCTGTATGCTTGAAATTCTCCAGTATAAAACGTTGGGAAGGGCTCCCCTGGTGGCGCAGTGGTTGAGAGTCCGCCTGCCGATGCAGGGGACGCGGGTTCGTGCCCCGGTCCGGGAAGATCCCACATGCCGCAGAGCGGCTGGGCCCGTGAGCCATGGCCGCTGAGCCTGCACGTCCGGAGCCTCTGCTCTGCAACAGGAGAGGCCACAACAGGGAGAGGCCCGCATACCGCAAAAAAAAAAAAAAAAAAAAAAAAAAAACGTTGGGAAATATAATACCCCAATGCTCAGCACACACCCAAATGTCTGTCCACCTGAGGCCTTTTAATGTCCCAACCCCCCTCAACCTCTCCTAAGGATACCCACACAGCTCCCCAACCTACACTTCGCTGTCGCACACATTCACAGCTCCCCAGACATCTATTTTTCACCCACTGGCCCCTCCGAAGCTCAAACTCCAACCACAGGAATCGCAGGTGACTAACCCCCAAGCCCTATCCTCACCAACCTATCCAGATGGACCCCTTTGATCACTGGTTCTTCCACCTCCTCTTTCCACCGCCTGGGGCGGGGGCGGGGGCGGGGGGCAGCGATCCGGCGCCGACCTGTCATTGTCAACGGCAATGGTCTGTCGTTACTTCCTCAACCCACTCCTCAACACTGATGCTGGCCCAAGCTACCCACAATGCCCCCAAAACTCCGAGGCCGCCTTCAACAACAATCCTCCACGAATACCCACCACAAACCACATCTCAAGTCAGAATTCCCACCACGCGGGATTCTTAAATCCGCTCGCAGAAATCTCACGTAGCCTCAAATGCCAATTCTGTGACAGTACGCTGGGGGAAGCCAAGCTTTGGACGCCACTTCCGTTTCCGCTGACGTGAGTGGCGGGCCCCTGTTAAACACTCACATTCAAGGCCACTTTGGAAGTGAGCGATGCGTTCTGATGCCTGGAGGAATTAATGCCGTGCAATATGGCCGCTCCCATGGCGTTACGTTATGTTGGGAGCGGCCATATTGGATAGTGCGCCGCCATTTTGGACCGTCCTGCCGACCAGTACGGAGAGGCGGAAATTCAACCGGTGTCTCCAAGATTTTTCATCCTGGGCTGTTCCATTTTTGCAGCTGCTCAGCTACATCTTCAGTAGCGTTTCAGCACTCTCGCCTACAGTCTTCCGACCTGACCCGAGAGGTAAACCAGTCGCAGGCCAGGCCTAAGCAGAATGGCCGCGCCCACTCTCTTTCCGATCCCTTTTTATGCCGCAGGAAAGACGTGGCCGTGTTGGGAAGGTTGGGGCTTCGGGACAGAGAAATGGGGAGCGTTTGCAGACAGGATGCCGGTTAAACGTTGGAGAGAATGGGGATTAGGAGGCTAGAGCTGTAGCTGAAGGAGCAGAGGTGTTACGAGGAGAGCACTCGTGGATGTACTTCGTGAGGCGAGACCGTGAGGGGGTGAGGACCGGGGCAGATATGTTTTGTGGAGCAGACACTGGCAACCACAATCCCCGCCAAAAGAGTATCACTTCTGTCTCACGGTACAAGGTGACCCTGTAATAGAGGCGGAGCGGGCGCGCAGCACTTAGTTCCAGGGGTTAGAGGTCCCGCGTTCTCGCAGTGGACCACCCGGAAGAGAGTGCGGTGAGAGGCAGATGGGGACCTCCTCCGAGGGACCCTCGAGGACCCCTGGCCTTGGGCCTGGCGGGTGAGGTGGGGGGCCTGGGGACAGTCTGAGGACTGTGTGCTGCAGAGGACTGTGTGCTGCAGGAGAGCCCTCGCCACTGCCGCCGACTGGCTGGGCCCGGGCCTTGAAACAGACGGGAACCTCTCCCCCATCCCTGCCTCTGGGACCTAATGGCGGCAGTGGTCTCCATGGGTCGAAGTCTGCAGGACCCTGCCCCTGTTTGCGCTGCCAGAGGAGCCTGACTGGGGCCTGGACAACCGGCTCCCTCAGTGATGAGAGCTGGGCAGGGTCTGGAGACCTGGCCCTGAGGGCACCGCCAGCTGAGATCCACGTCTTCAGCCAGGCCTGGGCACTGGCGGGAGCATCTAGTCTGGGTGCTGGACCAACGCTCCTGGGCAGGGCAACCGGCCTGCGCAGGGAAACCCTCCTCTTAGCCAGGGCCTGGACTTCTGAAAGCTGAGCCTTGGGACCTTGCCCTTTCTTGTCAGAACAGAGAATAACATTTGTTTTGGTGGAGGTTTCCAGGAACGTCGTGACCTGACCTCAAGAACAAGGGATCTGACAGCAAGAAGTGTGCAAAAACTAACCACACCCCTTCCTCACCTTTCCTGTAAAGGGGCTTTGCTGAAAGCTTTCTGGGAGTTCAGGGTTTTTATGGCATGAACCACCGGTCTCTTTGCACGGCCCTGCGATAAACCTTTCTCTGCTCCAAACTCCGACGTTTTGGTATTGTTTCGCCTCACTGTGCATGGGGCACATGGACTTGCACTCAGTAACAAATACATTCAAGAAGGATTCTGTGTATCTTGAATAGTCACAACCCGCCCAGTCATTTGTTTTTGTGAATACTGTGATACAGGGATCAACTTTCTTTTTTCCTCTGTATAGATAATTGTCCCAGCAGCTTTATTTAAAGTGAGGCTCTTCTGCACTGTTCGGCAGTTTCGTCTCCATCATAAATCAAGCGTCCATATCTGTATGGCCCTGATTTAGGACGTTGTTCTGTTCCATTGCTCTCTCGTTTATTCCTGGGCCAATACTACTCTGATTTAGCTACGGGATCATTTCTAAGTCTTAGGTCTGATAAAGCAAGGCCGCCTACTGTATTCTTTTTCTACAAGAGTGTCCTTGTTTTCTTGGCCCTTTATATTTTCCCATAAAATTTTACCTCAACTTGTCAACTTCCACAGAAGTTGGAAGTGTCATACTTCCCTTCAGTTCTTCAGAGATGGTTTCTTTTAGGTCCTCAAACATATTTATAATAGCTGATTTAATGTCTTCGTGTAGTAATGACATATGAGACCCCTCAGATAGTGTCTATGGATTGCTTTTTTTCCTGTGTAAAGGCCGTACTTTCCTGTTCTTTGTGTATCACTTTTTTGCCGAAGCTAGACGTTTTAGAAAATACAGTGTTGTTACTTTCGGTATCAGATGCCCCTTCTCCTCAGAATTCGTTGCTATTGCTGCTACTGTTGTTGCAGTTAGTTCAGTGACATTCCTGGTCTGTTTCCCTTGCAGGGTGCAGTCACTGAAGTCTCTGCCTGGTTAGCTTCCTTAGTTGTCCTGAGTCAGTGAGTTCTTCACCTTTTGCCAAGGGTAGTTTGTGCCTTAATGCTCCACTACTTTATTTTTTATTATATTATTATTATTATTTTATTATTATTTTTTTTTGCGGTACGCTGGCCTCTCACTGCTGTGGCCTCTCCCGTTGCGGAGCACAGGCTCTGGACGCGCAGGCTCAGAGGCCACGGCTCACGGGCCCAGCCGCTCCGCGGCATGTGGGATCTTCCCGGACCGAGGCACGAACCCGTGTCCCCTGCATCAGCAGGCGGACTCCCAACCACTGTGCCACCAGGGAAGCCCTTTTTTATTATTTTTAAAATTTTAACTATTGTTGATTTACAATATTGTGTTAGTGTCAGGTGTACAGCTTCAGATTCTTTTCCATTATGTTATTACAAGATATGGAATATAGTTCCCTGTGCTCTACAGTAAATCCTTGTGTTCATCTACTTTCTATATGGTCATGTATATCTGTTAGTCCCATACTCCTAATGTATTCCCCAACCCCTCCCTCTACTACTACTTCGATGCTTAGGCAGTTTACAAATCTGCCCTAGCCTTCTCTTCCTGCTGCAGGATTTCAAGGTCAGCCAGAGGTGAATTATCAGTGACCTTCAGGTCTTTTCTGGGCATGTACATATCCCTGTGTAGGTGTGTGGCCTTTTAGATCCTCAGGAATGTGTCATAGTGCTTAACAGCTCCTTGTGAGTATCTCATTCTTGACATTCCTTTTAAAATTTTTGGCCAAGCTAATGTTTTCCCCAACTGGTTTTGCGGCCTTAAGCTACCACAGTGTTAAACAATTGAGACTGTTTTTTGCCAAATGGTTTTCATGGCTGCTGTAGCTGTGAGGTTGCTGTTTTTCTAAAGCTAGTGCAGAACTGCGGAGGGGGGATGGGAGTAAACAAAGTTAGAACTCCACAAACACCACTGTTTTTACTGAGGTTCAAAATTTTTTCTTGACTAAAAATGCTCTTCAGGTTGTTTGTACGCCTTTGGTTAATTTCTAGAGTCGTAATAAAGTTGACTTTAATCATTTTTCCAGTATTTTTTAATTTTTAAAAATATCTTTATTGGAGTATAATTGCTTTACAGTGGTGTGTTAGTTTCTGCTGTATAACAAAGTAAATCAGCTATATGCATACATATATCCCCATATCCCCTCCCTCTTGCATCTCCCTCCCACCCTCCCTATCCCACCCCTCCAGGTGGTCACAAAGCACCGAGCTGATCTCCCTGTGCTATGCAGCTGCTTCCCAGTAGCCATCCATTTTACGTTTGGTAGTGTATATACGTCCATGATACTCTCTCACTTCGTCCCAGCTTCCCCTTCCCCCTCTGTGTCCGCGAGTCCGTTCTCTATGTCTGTGTCTTTATTCCTGCCCTGCCACTAGGTTCATCAGAACCGTATTTTTTAGATTTCATATATATGCGTTAGCATTAGCATACGGTATTTGTTTTTGTCTTTCTGACTTATTTCACTCTGTATGACAGACTCTAGGTCCATCTACCTCACTACAAATAACTCAATTTCGTTTCTTTTTATAGCTGAGTAATATTCCATTGTATATATGTGCCACATCTTCTTTATCTATTCATCTGTCGATGGACACTTAGGTTACTTCCATGTCTTGGCTACTGTACATAGAGCTGCATTTTTCCAGTATTTATGTTGCTTTCATAAAACAGTGGGTTTACACAGGTCCTCTGCTATTTTGGAAGTCCTGCCTCCTCACCATTTAGTTTTGCACAATAATCTAATAAGATACAATTTATTAATTTTATAGGTAAATACCCTAAATCTTATAATAAGCTGCTTCCCGTGAGTTATAATTATTGTTGGCACACAAAGCCAGCACTGCTTATCAATATACAATATTGCATCCGATTTAATAATTGCCCTAATAAACCATTAAACTTATGATATATCCCAAAATTATTTCTGTCCAACTTCACTTCCGTCCTTCCATCAATGACTTCAAAGGAAAAACAATCACAAAGCATCAAGATAACACTAACACTTATGCACTATTGTATTTATTTGATTGTTTGCCTGCCTTCTGAGTGAAGCTGGAAGCCTCCACATGGCTTAGTCAGTGTCGTCCAAATCTTTCCATCATCAGTATCTTGGGTGTATGTCTGTCATGTGCTGGACATCCATATATCCTTGTGTGAATGTGTATATACATATATATGCACACAAAAAAATATATATATACATTTTTGGGGGGGACTTCCCTGGCGGTTCAGTGGTTAAGACTCCATACTTCCACTGCAGGGGGCAAGGGTTTGATCCCTGGTTGGGAAATTAGGATTCTGCATGCTGCATGGTGCAGCCATTTTTTTTTTTTTTTTTTTTTGGCTGCGTTGGGTCTTTGTTGCTGCGCACGGGCTTTCTCTAGTTGTGGCGAGCAGGCTTCTCATTGCGGTGGCTTCTCTTGTTGCAGAGCACGGGCTCTAGGCACGGGGGCTTCAGCAGTTGCAGCATGCAGGCTCAGCAGTTGCAGCATGCAGGCCCTAGAGTGAGCGGGCTTCAGTATTTGTGGCTCGCAGGCTCTAGAGCGCAGGCTCAGTAGTTGTGATGCACGGGTTTAGTTGCTCC